AAAATACCTGACACATACTAAGTACTAAAATAAATAATGTCACTATTATTATTTATAATAACATTATTAGTATTTTTCAGTAACTAAGCTGCATTCTCTGGACTTCTAGAATCATCCATTCAATCACTCATTCACTCACTCAGAAAAAATTTTTGATGGTGATGGTGATTAGAGGAGGAATGAAATCAAGAAACTCTAACACTAAAAACCATTTATCTATTTTCAGGGTGCTGGCAAGATTTGAAGGTGATTTATCAGTAACTCAAAATAGAATATTAACTCAGGAGAAAAACAGGAGCATATATCAAAACAACCAACGTTATCTCTTTGCACATTCCAATCACCATTTATTTACTCATGCAGATTGGATGGGACAATCTAAAACTAGATCCAGCTCGAATGTCTAGCTAAGTGTCCTGTCTTTTAAAAAAAAAAAAAAAAAGAATCTGCATTTGAATATGCCTCCTACAGAAATTCAAATACAAAATGAGCTGTAGAGAATACCATACATATATGCTATATATTAAGCAGGAAGTGAGGCAAGTAAACTTCTCTGGAGGAGGAAAATGATATAATTTTCCTCATATTCAATGGTATGGCCCTTCCCTTCATTCTCACAGAGATTTGACCTTTGTCACAAACATGGACAGTCCTGATCCTGCCACTCCAGAACATGGATGTTATCAAGGACAGCTGCCAGCACTCTTGGTAACAATTTCTCTTTAAATGTAAGTGATTTTTCCTTTAAACATTTTGAGTTGGGATGGATGTGTGTTCAATAAACTTATATGGCCTCTTCAAAAATCTTTAATATTTTAGTTAATTATGTTTGATAGACCTTTTGTCATTTCTCTCTTCTCTCCATTATAGCTATTACTGTTTTTGAAGATGGATGTAGTATAGATGGCACTGAAATAGAGATTCATTTTCACTGACACTAAAGGAAGGATGTTCTACTCTAACACATAATTTCAAAAACAATACTGTTTCTTATAGAAATTATGAATATTGCCAACTTTGCTTTATGGGTAAAGAGGTAAAATTTTAAAACATAATTAAAGTATTTTCTCTTAAGCCAAAGAGTACTAATTAATCATTTTACATACATAAACATATACGCTTATGCACACTTATGGTTCTGTTAAATACTGTTTGAATTTTAGAATGCAAACTAAATTATCTAGTGAGCAAGAGACAAAATCCAGGTTCTTGTTCATCCACAGTCTTTTACTGTAGGGTGAAATTTGTCTCAAAAGTGTGAAGTTCAAATTATTTATTTTTCAAAATTCTCATTAGTTTCTATTTTGCTGGTTATAGCCTAACCTTTTTAACTTTTAGTTATTTTCAAGAGAAAATTTCAAAAAGCAGCCTTTGGGGAGAAAGAAACAATCCAACAAACAAAAAGATAACCACACTGTAATAGCAGATGTGTTTTGAATTAGAACATCGGAAGGGAAATGGTAATCATTTTTACAGATCAATCCCAAAGTCAAGGATCTATGTTCAACCACGTATTTTTTGCTGTCTTCATAATTCAATGGGCAGCCATCATTAAGCAGTTTGATTAGGCTATAATATGATTCTTGGACCAAGACTGCAAAAATACCACAAGACTCCTGAAAGGTTAACCCTGTCTAGCTCTACTATAATCTAATTTTATTAAAAAAAAAAAAAAAAAAAAAAAAAACAGGAAAAATTTGAGCTTCTAGAGAGTAGGGGGTACCATTTTGTATTCCACAGGGCCAAGGAACAAGTTTCAATTTTTTCATTTAAATTAATTTCAGTATGAGTATTGAAATATATAATAGAAATATAACATGTATTTTCTACATACTGTTATATAGAAAATATATAATATGGAATGTATTATTGAATATTACAGAATATATAATATAGAAAAACATAATATTCAGTAATATATTGACTACTTAAAAATAACAAGCTTATATAGGAAGAGTGATGGAGCATTATGAGAAACTTCAGTTTCATGTTTTTGACATGACTCTTTCTGTACAAACAAAAGAATTACAAGAATTTTCCTGATTATTCAAATAATTCAAAGTTGAGGAAGGAATATAAATCAATGATTTAGAAATTATTTTAAGATTTGAGCTAGTCTACAATCTGTAAAGATCTGAGAAGTTGAATTATATTTGTGCTATTTCCATATTAAGGCAACAAATCAATATTATTAATAACAACATTTTGCTTCCTAGAACTTTCTAAAGAGTCCATTAAGGTTTTGTTAGAAAAGATTGTTTTTAAAGTTAAAAACCATGAGTGATTCCAGGAAAATCCATATACCTATGCCATCATACTATCAATCAGGGCAAAACATGCTGAGGCTTTCATCAAGGCTAAAGGATTAAGGAGTGGTGCATAACTTTTCCTTGTTCCAACAAGCTGAGCACTTCCTTTTACTCCACATTTGTTTAATTGGCTTGAAATTTCTCACTCCTAAGAACAGATTTTAGGATTTGGAAAACATAAAATATCATTTTTTGAAGAGATTTGAAGATAAATTCAAACTAATAGAACTGAATCTCCTATATTATTCTGGGTAGCAGCTAAGTTTTCCCCACCCTTCTTCATGCTAGGAGATGAGAGATTCAGTTACTGCTTAAGCTCCATAGGCATACAAAGTGAAGTAGAAAACTCAGGCACATGTGCCCCTATTATCTGGTATTTCATGTGGCACTTAGAGCTAAATTGTCATTATCTCTTCAGGCCTCCATTCCTGCCTTTAACCACTGCCTTAAACAGAGGTTACTGTGCCAAAGTTGACAGCAAGACAAATCCCTTTGGCATGTAAGCTAGTTTCTTCTGCCATACTACTAGTTCCAAACTCCTTCTGGTTTCAGGATCCAGGAGTCAGGGTTGCCTCATCTTCTCAACTGAGTTACAATCACATATATCCCTACACACTGCATGTATGACACTAGTTCTTTAATATATGTTATTCCATTTGATCCTCATGAAGGATCAAATGGGGAAGGGAGATACTATTATCTCTGATTGTCCATTAAGATCTTGAGTATGTTCTACTTCCCTGTTTGACACACTGGTTTGAAAATGTTGCTAAGTCCTCCCAACAATGACAGACACTCAGTGGACACATGAAGGATTCTGTCAAACTGGTTATTTGGCATCATGCAGACCACTATTTCCCAACCCTCAAGTGCATTGTGGCATTTGGTGTGTCAGGGACACGCCTTGGGTGTGTGTCTCAGTCTAAAGCTTCCTCCTTTTTCACAAGCTTCTTGATTCTCATCTCTCTAGCTTCTAACTGTCACTGTAACCATCTCTTACTCTTCAGCCTGATGTCAAAAGCAAAAGTTCAGAAGTTCCTCATCAATAAGGAGTCCTTGCGAGCAGGTGAAGCTCATCTAACTAGGTAAGATAAAGATCTGTCATAACCAGGAGGCAAGTTAGAAGTGGCAGTCAGGTGCAAGAGCTCTGCAATGAGGCTGCCTGAATGTCCATTTTAGATCTGTCACCTGTTGGCTCTGTGACCTTGAGCAGGTCTTAAATCTCTCTAAGCCTTTGTTTTTTTCATTGATAAAATGAAGATAATAATAATACCAAATTTATGGAGTTTTTTGGAACTTAAATAACATATGTGAACTATTTAGAGCAATGCCTACTATAAGAGAGCACTCAGTAGATATTGGTTATTATTAATTTCATACAATTAGAAACGTTATATAACATTAGCAGATATAAAATTGTCTTTAACCAGATAGCTAATGTATGGAAAGCTATTTAGCTTCAAAAGTAAACTCTGAATTTCTACAAGTTAAATATTAATTTGTAATACTAATTATCTCTAATATTACTCTCTCACTTTTATAAGAAAAATAGTGAAAGTGTTTATTAAGAACTTACACTGTTCTAAATGTTATGTATTATATGACTTAATCCTCACTATAACCCTATGAGATAGGTTACATTGTTGTCCTAATTTTACTAACAAGTAAACCAAGAGACAAAGGTACTAAAATACTTGCCTGAGGTTAGGCATCTTCTTTTGTGGTGAGGCTGGACTTCAGATTTAGGCCATTTGGCTGCAGCACTTATATGATGAGCATGCTGTAGTGTTATAGTGTTGGTTTACCTTTGAACAGACATACTTTTAAACTATGGCAAGGAAGTGAGACTGTACATTGAGATATGCAAAATTTGCCTTTGTGTGCCACAAGATAAATTGTCACATCACTAGAAATGAATCATAAGCTTTTTTGTTTGGTTAAAGTTTTATTTATCCATTTTTCTTGTTTATTTTGTGGGAATGCTAGGCTTAACTAGGAGATAACTCCACTTTTCACTTGCCAATGGTATGAAAACTTGTCCTCTGAATCTTTTTTTTTTTTTTGGGACAGAGTTTTGCTCTCGTTACCCAGGCTGGAGTACAATGGCGCGATGTCGGCTCACCACAACCTCCGCCTCCTGGGTTCAGGCAATTCTCCTGCCTCAGCCTCCTGAGTAGCTGGGATTACAGGCACGCGCCACCATGCCCAGCTAATTTTTTGTATTTTTAGTAGAGACAGGGTTTCACCGTGTTGACCAGGATGGTCTCGATCTCTTGACCTTGTGATCCACCTGCCTCGGCCTCCCAAAGTGCTGGGATTACAGGCGTGAGCCACCGCGCCCGGCCTGTCCTCTGAATCTTTAGCTATTTTGGCAAATTGTAGACAAACAAAGATTTAAAGCAATTCAACCTCAATTAAAATAAAATACCTCCATACCTAATTAAATTTATTTCATTTTAGAAACTGGATTATGATCAAGACAACTTCTATATGAAAACATAGATTACTAGTGCTCCAAGTTAGTTCATTATATTTATTCCCATTTATATGTTATCTGCTTTCAGTGCTATTCAAGTTTTCATTACTCATTAATAATTTCATTAAAATCATTTTATTTCATTAATCAATATTGATATTTCATTAATCAGCATTGATAATCTGTGAATATTAAATGTTTTATGCCAGGCATTTCTATGATGTGGCTGTTTTTGACCATAACTTGTTTGATTTCTGGAAACTTAAATGCTGGTGGATTAGTTGATTTGGAAAATGAAGTGAATCCTGAGGTGTGGATGAATACTGTAAGTCATGGAAAACTTTGAAGAACATCAAATAAAGCAAGATTAATGGATTATGAGGTTAGGAAAGGTTATGTTATAACAGAAATCTCTGATAAAACATAAAAATGTAGATGGTTTTTAACCTTTGCAAGAGTCAAGCTAGGTAGATGTGCTCCTTTGACTGAAAAACTAATACTTTCTAGTAATGAAAACCAAAACTGTGCTATTCTGCTATCTATGTAGATAAATAGAACCTCTACTTTTGAATTTATATTTTAAGAATATTAAGGTATTTGTTGATATATATGATTTCCTTCTACTGATCTACAGTTCTATTACCTTTAAACCAAGAGAAGTCTCAAAAGACAACTGACTTGAGAATGTAGCTTTGTCAGAAAGAATGAGTCAATGCTAAATGTTCCCCCTACCCCCCAAAATATTTTCCAGTAGTAGATATTTTTAAACATTCTACTTATTTTGTATTAAGACTTTATTTATTAAATTAATTTTACAGTTACCTGGTGATACAAATTTCAGATAATTCACCCAAATAGGCACACAACAGATGCTTTAATTCCTTTTGATATCCTTTGGAGAAGTTCAGCTAATGACTGTATTTTTGCTGGGCAGAGTGAAATAATCATCTACAATGGCTATCCCAGTGAAGAGTATGAAGTCACCACTGAAGATGGGTACATACTGCTTGTCAACAGAATTCCCTATGGGCGAAGACATGCTAGGAGCACAGGTACAAGCTATGTCTCTCCTGAAAAGCAGGACGGCATTGACCTTCTCCTTTTCAGAAATAATTTAGTGCTAGATATGCTTCAACAGAGTTTATCGAAATTGGTTTGAATTGTTAGATTAGTCTTTAAATAGTTAACAGGAAGGGTTACTCTTTTCCTGATAATTCTCTGAAGACAGACAAGAAACTAAAAATACAAAGAGCAAGACTGATCTTGCTAACTGCGACCAGACGTACTTGTTAGGGTGTAAACAGAAAGGTGGAGCCCACATTTTGTCAGCTCGTTACTGATTTATCATGTGGAAAATTGCTTTGTCCCAGGAAAATGGATCTCTTCATTGTTAGGAGGAGATTTGCTGGGTTGTATGAAATTCACTGTGGGGCACCCAAGAAGAACCTCTTCTATCCCCAGTAAAATGAAGGGGCCTCCCTCTGCAGGATAAAGATAAAATCGAGTTAAATGATAATAGCATTTCTGAAAAGTTTGCCAGGATTGAAAACCTTAACATTCACGTACACTTTGATCGAAGGGACACACTGGTTCATGGAATGAAAGAGTATGGTGTCAATAAGGCTTGAATTCTAGAATGAGGATCCAGCCATGCCATAGCAAGGGAATGACACTCCTTAAAATGGAAAATTTAACTGCAAAGCCTCTGAAGAATAAAAGATAAGAATAAGCAAAATATCTGCAATGGCTCAATAGCAAATAATTTATTGGCAGCTGCTTACCATGTTCATTTTGCAACTTTTCTCCCACCATACACATTAAGCAACAGCTGAAGTCATGTTTGACATTCTCTCCCTCTTATATCTCCAGTTTCAGAATAAAAAATGAGAACGATATGAATAGTTTTACTAGTTAAAATATGAAACACCCAGTTAAATTTGAAGGTCAGATAAGCAACAAATAATTTTTGTATAAGTCTCATTTTAAGATATACTAAAAAGTTATTCACTATGTATCTTAAATCCAAATTTCATAGAGCATCCTGGATCTTTTTGCTTATTTTTCTTTTTATTTTTTGCTAAACCTGGCAATCCCAGGTACAGGCATGAGGGAGCTATGAAATACAAAAGGAGAAAACTTTTATGGGAAAGGTTTTGTTTAAGGAGAGATAACTTTGGAAAGACTTAGAATTAAAGGTCATTTATTAGATATAATGTTCTAAATATTTTAAATCAGTTAAACCCCTCATAAACAATATGAGATGGGTACCACTAATAGTCACCATTTCACAAATGATGAAATTAAGGCACAACTGGTTATGTTAAGAGGCCTGAAGCACACATATAGCAAGCTGATAGACCAGAATTTAAGCCCAGGCATCCTGGCTCCAGAGCCTGTGCTCTTAGTCATTAAATTATAGTGCCTAACTTGACCTTCTGCCCTGTTTCTTTGCATCTCCCTGAATACCTTCTTTTCCTCAGGCATCTGAAAGTTGGCAGAAGGACATTGAGCTGAGTATACTATTGTAGTTTTTGAATGCTCTCCACTGGGCAAAGGATGGGGATTTGAATACAAGTTTGGTGAGGAACCGATCAGTATCCACTTACACTCACCTCCTCTTCCTCCCTGGAAGAGCTATAGGACTTGAGTAAGCACGATAAATTTCACATCTTTGTAAACCACACCCAGGAAGTTTGTATATACAAATACATAGGGCAGAGCAGTTACCAGTACAGGCTTTGACATAAAAAAGAAGGGGGTTTGAGTCCCTGCTCTGTGCCTTCTTACGTGGGCGTCACTCTGGGAAAATTACTTAACTACATAAGGTTTGGTTTCCACATCTATAAAATGAGGATTCTCAAAATAGCAGCTAGTTTATAGAGTAGTTGTAAGAATTTAGTAAGCTAATACATATAAATAGGTCAACATAGCACCTAGGTACAAAGTATGTGCTCAATAAACTGAAGTTACGTGATTATAATGCTCTATACTACTAACAAGGGAAAAGTGAAAACAGTTTTTGTTTTACCCTGTGTGTGTGTGTGTGTGTTTCTGTAATGTTTCTGACATGCTCTATTTACCATAAGTTACTCTCTCTTTCTCTCTCTCTCTCCCTGTCTCATCTTACCCCCTCTCCCCCAGGTCCCCGTCCAGTTGTGTATATGCAGCATGCCCTGTTTGCCGACAATGCCTACTGGCTTGAGAATTATGCCAATGGAAGCCTTGGATTCCTTCTAGCAGATGCAGGTTACGATGTATGGATGGGAAACAGTCGGGGAAACACTTGGTCAAGAAGACACAAAACACTCTCAGAGACAGACGAGAAATTCTGGGCCTTTAGGTAAATAATAGCTAAGAAAACTGAAGGGCGAAGTTGGAAGCATTAAAAAAAAATAACATGGATGCTCTTAATAATCATCTTTGACCCTTGAAGTCATATAGCTCCTTGCAGTTTCTGTTAACATCTCAAAAGAGGGAAACAGCAAGAAGCTTTGATTTTCACTGATTCTCTCACAGGCAAAGTATGGCATTTCAACAAGATCATTTTAACATCCAATTCTATCAATTCTATGCATTAAAAGTATGTCCAAACAGGGAGACAGCTCAGGAAATTTTCATGGCCAATGTGTACATTCTTTCAGCCAGTGTTTACTGAGTGACTACTGTATGCACTATTCTAGGCTCTGAACATTCGAACAGAGAATAAACCAAATCCTGACTTCACAAAGCTTATGTTCATTTTAGTGATATTATAAGTCTTTTCTCCTGGGTAATCCACTGTGCAAGGATGGTTTGGACCAGGACTGTACTGATTTAGAGAAACTGTGATTGAGATCGCACATAGTATCATTTTCAGGAAAACTCCAATATTAGGTTTTTAAAAACCTTGTAAATGGTCAATGGAGAAGAATCTTTTTGATATTTTAATTGTTTATTTTAAGGGAAAAGTTTTCTGCTGTCACCAGAGGACAGGCTAATGCCTGCAGTAGACTTTCTCTTTTCAGGCCTAAGCTCCCTGTTGGTTTGCAAACCTGCTGCTAGAGCAGTGTGTATTCCTATCACATTAATAAAATATTTAGTACCCACTGAAGGTTTGAGAAGAATGGAGGAACAGAGTAAAATGTTATGGTTCCTGGGCAGGGGCAAGCATCAGGAAATATTATCACTGGTCTCTGGGAGCATCACAACAATTCTCCTATTCTTGGAAGTCCCAACCTGTAGATATCCTCACGTTCTTTTAAAAAAACAGGCTTCTAATTATGGAATACCTGCTTTGATTAAACGTTATATAGGCCTTTTTGTTCCTCCTGTCCGAAGAACAAAATACTGGTACTAGGGAATACTGGTATATATTAAATATATATCCATATATCTATGTGGACAGGAATACTACTACTTACATCATCTTACTTAGTGCCTACTAGTAGCCAGAGTCATTTCTTTCATACTATTAAACCCTCTTAGCAGCCCTGTAAACCAGGAACTACCCTTCTTATTTCTCAAATGAGAAAACATAGGCTCAGAGCATTTTAGTAACTTTGCAAGAGTTGCAAAGCTCATAAATGGTAGAATCATGATTTACAACAGTCCTATTTCCAAAGATGGGCATTAAATGGCGCTAAGAATTGTGAAGCCCCATGGGGGAGTCAGAAGTAGAAGCACACAAACTAGATGGGGAAAGGGAGGGCAAAGAGAAGCAAGAGAAGGGAAGGAAGAGGAGGAATCATAGGGTTGAATTCAAACAGCATACACAATCTTGAAAGTGCTCCTCTCATGAGGAAGTAAAATGTATATTTGCAGAAAAACAAAAAGCTTCAATAGCCTGCATTTAATTGGATAAATAAATGTGATATACACTGAATTGAAGTAAACAGCATAGAATTCTGTGTGTAAAAAAGAAATGAGCAAGTGCTCTGAGTTTTAAACTTAAACTTGCCAGTATTTATAAAAGCCCCTGTTTTATTTTGCAGTTTTGATGAAATGGCCAAATACGATCTCCCAGGAATAATAGACTTCATTATAAATAAAACTGGTCAGGAGAAATTGCATTTCATTGGACATTCACTTGGCACTACAATAGGTATGTTTTTGAGGGTCAATGTTCTCAGAGTCTTACAAGAGTTCACCTTTATGTTAAAATAAAGTAACTGCTACTTATAGTGCCCTCAGTTCTCTGTCCTCTGCTGGGAATAACCCTAGTACTCTAAGTAGCTGTGAGACTGCAGTGCAGAGACTATGTGTAGGATAAACCTTTCCTGGGTCTCTGGTCACAGCAGCATATTGGCAATGGTGATGCAGTTTCCCAGGAATAAAATGTGTTCCAAATTCAAAGAAATAATTCTGCAGAGTAAGTTTCTAGATTCCCTCTGAGATGAAAAAGTGAAGTTTAATGCCATGAAATATGGCTGAAACATAATAAATTTGCATCAATCATCTCTTTCTCACAATCCAAATAGGATTTTTTAAAAATAAAAGGATGGTGCTTATACTTACATTTGAACATGTTGAAAAGACATGGTTATATTTGTTTGTGGGTTGGCACACAAAGCTTACTATAATAAACCAATTGGGCTTATGTATTTAGTGTGTGATTTCATATTTGTTAAATAGAAAGTAAATGTAAGCACTATGTAGAAATTTTTAAGGTTTTTTTAAGTTGACAATTTAATTCTTAATAATTGCTCAGATAGTTTGGAATGAAATCAATAATCTAGTTCCAAATAAAAGTTCAAAGGAACCCATACTAATAAAAGCTTTAATTTTGTAATTGAACTTCCACCAAAGTTTCCAATTTTAAGGGAATAAATTACACGAAAATGTAATATTTTAATTTAGGGAAATATTTTCATTATCCACTATCATCAGTAACAAACATTAATTAGTACTTTATATTGATAGGCACTTTCAAACCTTCAACTAGGCAGTTAGCATCAGAGCGCATATACTAGAATAGTATCCAAAAACTCATAGGAGATCACAAATGCCACTAATAGGCAAATAATTATACTATAATATCTAACACTTATTGAGCATTTGTTATGTGTTGGGTCCTGTGTTCAGGACCTTTCCCACAGTATCTCTCTCTGATCATCAAAACAACCCCACTATTATTATCTCCATCGTAGAGAAGAAGAAACACAAGTTCAGAACACAGATTCAAATCAGGTGTATCTGACTTCACCAATGGTATGTGTAAGGATTCTGGAAAAATGGTATAGAGAAGTAATAACTTAAGTTGGTTTTGGAAAAGCGGGTAGGACTTGGACAGATCTGCAAAGAAAACAGAGAATTTGATTATCTGTTCTCTGTGTTATAGTTAGCGCATAAAGTTTGTCAGTGAATGTTGTTTGCATTTTGGACAGAGAAATTTGTTATGTAAGGGCATAAGTGAGTGGTCTTTGTAGGACATTTAGGTCCCAACCCATTAAATGTTAACAGGGTTCTGCAGTGTGACCCCAAAAATCTCATCTCCACATATTTCCAAACACCCTCTGGGAAAGTACTATTCCGGATTCAGAGTCTTTTTATCAATTGTTCAGTCAATTATTTCAGTTCCTCTTTTTCGGGCCAAGACAGTTTTAATGTTTCAGCAAGTGTTTACACACACACAACACACACACATACACACCAGTGGAAGCCCAGGAAGGGACTTCTGGAAACCAAACTATATGGATATTCCTCCTAGCCTACCCAGTATCATGCTGATCTCCATCCTCACAGAGATATAAAGAGGTGCAATGCTACTGCTTTTCTACTAGGCCATTGAGAACACTAGGGGAAACCCCTTTCTTTTTGGAACCAGGGAAGAGTTTGGAGGGTTGATAGACATCCAGCAAGGCACTGGGAGCAGTGAAATTTCATTCCATAGTGGGAAAGAAAACCTGTTGGAATAACTGGTCGATGCTGGAGAAAGAAATCAATTCACCTCCTGTGAACTGATTATTTGCTTCTGGAAGTTCTGTGATTCATTCTGGCATCTCAGAGTTAGGGATGAAATGAGAATGTTGCCAGCATTTACCCCATGCTTGGGAAGTAAGGACGCTTTCAATTCACACAGCAGTAGCTACTCTGGCAGCTTAACCCCCACCTTTCCCTTGCTAGCTACTCCATTTCCCCAAACCAGGTCAAATTGTCCATAAATAGAAAAAAATAAAATTGGCGACTTGAGAGCAGAGACAACTGAAGGCAGATTATCTTTGCAGAATAACTCAGAAGACTTCTAGTCCATCCCCAGTATTATTGCAATAGAAGGAAAAATGACTAAGCAGAGCGCCGCTTTTGGTAGAAACATTACATAAGTATTTATTTTTACAAGATTGTCTTGTCTCCTGTTCTCTCAGGGTTTGTAGCCTTTTCCACCATGCCTGAACTGGCACAAAGAATCAAAATGAATTTTGCCTTGGGTCCTGTGATCTCATTCAAATATCCAACCAGCATTTTTACCAGTTTTTTTCGACTTCCAAATTCCATAATCAAGGTAGGCTCCTTTCACAAAAATGTACCTAAGGATCTCATTTTGGATCATAAATCCTTATTATTTTCAAATCTGCAGTAAAGTACAAGTAGGAAATTTAGACAAAATCTATAGAACTTAGACTCTGTGGGCACGTGCTTGTGTTTGTGTGCCCCATGTGTGCGCATGTCTGTGCCGTAGTATCTACAGTTTCTGTAAAACAATTTACTACATGAGGTCATTAGCAAAGCTAAGTGTATGTCAGAATTTCTATCTGAGCTGAGTGCTATATGACAACAAAGATTTTTCTTGTTTTTGCTGGTATTTTGTTCCATTTAGTCAGGCAGGTCAATGAATTCACATTGCCCAAGTGAAAGACACTGTTACCTGTAATCATTGATGAGTCCAAATTTGACATTAGAAAAACTTATTATACTCCTTCCAATATGGGAACTTGTCCTAATTTATTAAAGCTAAGATTCCAAAGTCTAAATATATTACAGATCAAATATTAATTCAAATATTTATTGATTATTTTTCAAGAGCTGAAAAAGTCATTTGGTTGCCAACGGTAGATTTGGAATTTTATCTATTAAAGGGTTGTTTTGTTTTGTTCTCCCTCTGCTTTTGTTTCTCTAAAAAGTTCATTGCCACGATGAACATAGCATTTAATAAAATTCGAATTGGCCTTTGAATTTGGGATGATGGATAAAATGGGTTTAGGCCAAAATTGAAGTCAAGGTGACCAGTTAGAATACCAAAATAATTCATATGTAAGAAAATGAGCCCTTGGTTTGGGGTGGAGTGGTAGAAATGGAAAAAAATTATTTGCGAGCTAACACAAAGAAGAATTTTCATAGGGCCTAATGATTGGTCTGACAATAGTTTTATTGTATTGTTTACTGAGACCACAAATGATGTAATTTCTTTATTCAAGGGCTTTTCTAGTTTGTTTCAAAATGTGTTGATACCAGTTATCTTTTAATGCTTTCTATAGTTGGGCAGAGTGAGCAAACTAATTTGTTAAATTAAAATCAGAGATAGATATATCTATTTGTAAATACATGTATCTGTTGTATGTGTTGCTCTTCCTACATAGGTCAGCAATAAGGCAAATAATGTTCCTGGCTTATCTCAGTTTCACATTTCCCACGGTCAATATTCCTACTACTTCAATTGTACCATCTTTGTGACATTATCATATCTTTTCTGTTCAATGGTTCCTTCCCTTGGGTTCACCATTCTCTACTTTTTCAGCCTGATAACTAGCTAATCTGAGACAGTACTCGAATGCAATGTGCGCATGGGTAATATGGAAAGCCCCGATTGTCCCTCATATTCAAAGTATTATTTGACCTTAAGAAGAAACTGTTTTGCCTTTCTTACCAATTAATGAGAAAGAAATTTTGGTAAGCACTGATTGGGCAGAATACAGGGAAATTTCACTATGGAGATGTGAATTTGGGGTTGAGGACCTTTATTGCAATCTCCTTGTAAATAATATTTGATAATCTTCCTCATTTGGAGATAGATTCCTAAGTCACTTTTCCTCAATAATTTGGTCTCCTTGACTGAATCAGCTAGTACAAATAGATCCCCAAAGCATGGCTCATTTCTAGAATGAAGGATATGCCAAGAATTCTGAAGATGATTCTTGAATTTTGTTTTTTTGCTATTGCTATTTGGGCATATTGTTGTTTTTGCTATTGACTTGAGCTCCTTACATATTCTGGTTACTAATACCTTGACATATGGGTAGTTCTCAAATATTTTATCTCATTCAAAGATAATTATTATTTACCTTCACAGGCTTTTTTTGGTACCAAAGGTTTCTTTTTAGAAGATAAGAAAAAGAAGACACCTTATAGCAAAATCTGCAGCAATAAGATACTCTGGTTGTTATGTAGAGAATTTATGTCCTTATGGGCTGGTTTCAACCAGAAAAATATGAATCAGGTATGTGTGATAGTTATAGGGCCATTTGATACCTTAAGAAATTCCAGCTTTCCTTTGACTCATTTTGATATATCTATATACTGTATAAATTCATATGGTATTCCAAACTTTTAAAGGCAGACAGATTTTTTTTCTGCTTTTAAAAATTGTTTGTGGGTATATAATAGTTGTACATATTTATGGAGTACATGTGATATTTTAATACAAGCACACAATGTGAAATGACCAAATCAGGGTAATTGGGATATTCATCACTTCAAGCATTTATCATTTCTTTTTGTTAGAGACATTCTAATTGACTCTTCTAGGTATTTTGAAATATACAATGAATTATTGTTAACTATAGTCATCCTATTGTGCATGTGAGATTTTGTTCCTTCTAACTGTGTTTTTGTGCCCATTAACCAATGCCTCTTTATCCTTCCCACACCCCGACTACCTTTCCCAGCCTCTGGTAACCATCATTCTACTCTCTATTTCCATAAGGTCAGTTTTTTTTTTTTTTTTAACTCCCATATATGAGTGAGAACATGCAGTATTTGTCTTTTTGTACCTGGCTTATTTTACTTAATATAATGTTCTCCAGTTTCATCCATATTATTGCAAATGACATGATTTCATTCTTTTTATGGCTGAACAGTATTCCACTGTATATATACACCACATTTTATTTATCCACTCATCTGTTGACGGACACTTAGGTTGATTCCATATCTTGGTTATTGTGAATAGCGCTGTAATAAACATGGGGTTACAGATGTCTCTTCCACGTATTGATTTCCTTTTTTTTTTTTTTTTTTTTTTACTATATACCTAGCACTGGAATTGCTGGGTCATATGGTAGTTCTACTTTTAGTTTTTTGAGGATCACCCATACTCTTCCCCATAGTGCCTGTACTAATTTACATTCCTACCAACAGTCTATGCAAGGGTTCTCTTTTCTCCACAACCTTGCCTGCATCCATTATTGCCTATCTTTTTGATAAAAGCTATTTTAACTGGAATTAGATGGTATTCTATTATAGTTTTAGTTTGCATGTCTCTAAGGATTAGTAATGCTGAACATGATTTTAATGTACCTCTTGGCCATTTGTATGTCTTCTTTTGAGAAATGTCTGTTTAGATTTTTGCCCAGTTTTAAATCAAATATTTATTTTTTGCAATTGAGTTGTATGAGTCTTTATATATTCTGGTTACTAATCCCTTGTCAAATGAGTAGTTTACAAATATTTTCTCCAATTCAACGGGCTGTTACTTCACTTTTTTGTTGGTTTCCTTTGCTTTGCAGAAGCTTTTCAGCTTGATGTAATCTAATTTGTTCATCTTTGCTTTGGTTGCCTGTGCATTTGAGGGCTTACCTCAAATTGGCCCAGACCAATATCCTGGAATGTTTCTGCAGTGTTTATTTTTTAGTAGTTTCATAGTGTCAGGTCTTAAATTTGTCTTTAACCAATTTTTATTTTATTTTTCTATATAGCAAGAGACAGAGATCTAATTTCATTTTCTGCATATGGATATCTAGTTTTCCTAGCATAATTTCTTTAAGAAATTGTCCTTTCCCCAATGTAGGTTCTTGGTGACTTTGTTAAAAATTAGTTGACTATAAATGTGTGGATTTATTTCTGGGTTCTTTATTCTGTTCCATTTTCTATGTGTCTGTTTTTATGCCAGTATTATGCTGTTTTGATTACTACAGCTTTGTATCATAATTTGAAGGCAGGTCATGTGATGCCTCCAGCTTTGTTCTTTTTGCTCAGAATTTTAAATTTAGAAAAACATAAACACTCCAACAAAACACATACTAGAACTGAAAAACAAACTCATTAAATTTGCAGGATAAAAAAATCAACATATAAAATTCAGTAGCATTTCTATATGCCAACAGCAAATAATCTTAAAAAAAAAAAAAAAAGAAAGAAAAAAAGAAAGTAATCCCATTTACAATAGCTACACATAAGATAAAATACCTAGGAATAAACCATACCAAAGAAGTGAAAGATTTCTACAATGAAAACTATAAAACACCGATGAAAGAAATTGAAAATGACATTTAAAAATTGAAAGGTATTCCACATTCATGGATTGCAAGAATCAATATTGTTAAAATGTACATACTATCCAAAATAATCTACAGATTCAATGCTATTCCTATCAAAATACCAATGGTGTTCTTCACAAAAATAAAATTTTAAAAAGCCTAAAATTTATGTTGAACCATGAAGGTAGATGTCTGCTATACGTAGAAGATTAAGTACTCAACAAAACTTGAATATGAAGACTGAGGAAGTGAATAGGCAGCTTCATTCTTCCATTCCCTGGTGAAATTTAGGAAACAGATGTTTTATAGTGGGTAGTAGTTCCTTATGTGTTTTCAATCAGCCATAACTTACTTCAGTTAATCTGAATTTATTTCATTTGAATATATTGCATTAAAAATAAAATCCTGAAAAAGGAGAGAAGCACATATAAGCCTTGATCTTATTTCATATATTCCTTCCTTTGTGGGTGACTTTTGTTTGAAATAAAACTCACCGCTTAACCTGGAAAATAACAGGACAGGATGGAACGGAGATGGGAACCCCTCTTTATGAAGAAGCAGCAGTCCTGTTTTATCACCTGTTGGTTTTCTCTTATTAAGAATTCAAGAAGAAGGAGGAAGAAGGGTTCACATCTGCAGACTGGTGTGGTTGAGTAATTGTCTCTACTGTATTCCAAATAGCAGCCAATGAGGCTGTTACAGTGAAGGCAGTCCCAAAATAACTGTTCTCTACCCCTATTCTCTAAGAAGCTAAATTGTGTTAGACTGAAAACCATAAAAAAAAAATTGTTCAAAGTTGGCTTGTTCAAAAGTAAAGATTTGTAATAGTTTATCTTAATTAGATTCATTATTTTTTAAGACATAGAATTATGACTACTATAATTTTTATCTTCATAATGTTTACAAAGATTGAAATAATCTTTGGGAAAAAAATGGCTTTTGGCTTTACATTTGCAATATTTTATTTTATTCCCATAAAAGACTAGTAAATTGGTAGTATGACTTTTAATATGTTCATTTAATAGATGAAAAAATAGAAACTCGAAGATGCTAAATGTGGTGGACAAGTTCACAAAGTGGATCATTAAGAACAACAGGGCCTGAGCTCTGGTTTTTTAATCTAATCTGTGACAGTGCACCTGAGTGTGCAAGCATGCATCACCCCCACACTTGCACATAGAACCTTTCCTAGTTATTTTGATCCATGATGACTATTACTATTCATTCTACCTCAAAATAAACAAATTATCTTACGGATTCGGAGCCGGTGCAAGTTTGCTGTCAAGCAACCCATTCCATTAGTCAGTTTATGGTCATTCAAGTATTGATATAAATGGCATATTTATCTAGATAATTCTACCTCATTATTTTCAAATCCCCAGTTTTGTTTGCTAATTGTGTGCATCATTTTTCTCTGATTCTGAAAGGCAAAATGTATTTTGTTTGGCGATTGTTGCTGTAATATGAATTTTATTTCCTTTAGAGTCGAATGGATGTGTATATGTCACATGCTCCCACTGGTTCATCAATACAGAACATTCTGCATATAAAACAGGTAGAGTCTTAGTCATGAAAAAACCATTCCAATTCTTATTTCCATTATATTTAAAAAAACAGAATTGACCCTGTTAACAGGCCTACCTTAAAAATCTTAAGAGTTTGCTTCCAGTTTGTCCTTGCTGCCATCTTTAGCCTTGATTTCTCTGGAATTTAAGAGAAAGTATTTTGTGGTATAGACCAAGTAGATGACATAAATGAATACCTTCTTAAATCAGAGTTTGTAAAATAGGCCCTGAACTGAACCAAGAGCTAAACTAGGGAAGCCTCAGGAGAACTGAGACTTCTCCAGAGGGAAGCATCTGGGATTTAACTTCTTTCTAATGAGGCTTGGCTTTCCATGAACTTTTTCTTTAAACCAAAACGGGGGTTATTGCTTGTCTTTCTTTTGAGCCCCACTTGTCATAATTGTAAAATGGTATTTACATTTTTCTGGCGATCCAGGAGCCCTATTTTCTTCCTAGCATGCACTATTTTTCTAAAATTTGCTGTTAGCTGTTATGAGTCTTACCCTAACTATTCTTTTTCTAAAACACATTTGTTTCAGCTTTACCAATCTGATGAATTCAGAGCTTATGACTGGGGAAATGAAGCCGATAATATGAAACATTACAATCAGGTGAGATATTTACAGTAACCCCAGAATGGTGAATTTGAGAAAGTATAATAAAAAATTGAGTGTGAAAAGAATCCTACCTGTCATTTGGTGGCACTTAACTGATAGAAATTTTGTTTTTAAAAATGTTTAATTTTAATTTGCATTTATTTCAGCAAATTTATAAATAAAAGAATCATATACAAAGAAAATTATATCATGTGTAATCCTTCCATCCAGAGATAACTAGATGTACTAACATTCTGGTGTATTTATTCCAATTTTCTCTGTATTATATTACTTTTATACAACTTTTAATCTATTTTACTTAAGATATAGTAAGAGATGACCAGTGTTACTGAGGGATCTTTTTAATTGTTTTTTCTTTTTGAGACAGAGTATCGCCCTGTCACCCAGGCTGGAGTCAGTGGCACAATCTTGGCTCACTGTAACCTCCGCCTCCCGGGTTCAAGCGATTCTCCTGCCTCAGCAGGAATAGCTGGGACTATATGCACACACCACCATGCATGGCTAATTTTTGTATTTTTGAGTAGAGACAGGGTTTCACCATATTGGCCAGACTGGTCTCAAACTCCTGACCTCGTGATCCATCCGCCTCGGCCTCCCAAAGTGCTGGGATTACAGGCATGAGCCACTGCCCTGCCAAAAAAAATTTTAATGGCTGCATGATAGAAATTGTTTCATAAAAATATTTACAGCATAAATGAATATGCACTTTGTAATACCAACAGAAAAATTAGAATTCCACATGAAAGTTGAATAAGTATCACCCAACATTGAAGACTTGGGTCATAAGGCATCTTTTTCCATATAGCTTTATGACATAAAAATCTGTAGACTCATTTAGCACCATACTTTTAATTAATCCTGTCACCACCTTTCTGTTCTCACAGCCAGGGACTTGGCTTATAAGTATGAACTAAGCACATGAAATTAAATTGTTTTCAGTGTTTTCCCAGGCTAACATATTTTAAGTTATTTACTGGAACAACCATAGATCAATTATTAATAAATTGTTTCTGAGGATCAAAACAGTCAATCAGACCAGCCAATTTCTCAATAATGAATTGGCTGGTTACAGGAATAGTTCTAATAATCCTTAAAACCACTACAAGAGATGGACTGTGTATATTTTATTTTTAAAAATCAGTTTAAGATGTGATTTTTACATACAATAACATGTACTAATTTTATGTGTCCCATTCAATGAGTTTTGACAAATATATTTATTTGTGTAACCACACCACAATCTAAATATAGGATGTTTCTATCACCCCTAAAAGTTTTTGGACATGAAACAGTAAGGGACTCTCATTTTGGACTGTACATGTCTGTTTTTTTCCATTATTTTTAATAAATATGTTATATTTATAATTTGTTTACATTTACAAGAGAATGAAACAAAATACGCACACACACTCAAGATCATTGTAGTCAAGTTCTAAAGTATGTGAGAGTGTTAATATCCTTGGAATTTGTCTGCTGTTAGCTGGTCCTACTTGATAGAATTGATGCTCCAAGTCAATCCTATTTTGTGAATTCATCTCATTTGATGGCAATTTTTATCATATTCCCTCCAAAAAAGCTAGTCTCAACAATTTGCCCTCTCCTCAAGTTTGCAGCACCATCTCTGTTCCCACTCTATGTTTTATTGAGTATAAGAGGATTAACCCATGTAAACTCCATGACACCAGGGATTTCTCACCGTTTTGTTCTCCAGTGTTTTCTCACCTGGAAAAGTTCATGAAAATTACTGGACCCTCAATATCTATTTGCTGCATGAAGGAAATTTCTTAACTTTTCTCTTATCTACCTCAAACTGTCTCTATCTTCTTGATTCTTTCCTTCCTTTCTCTATCAGAAAATGATGGTCCTCTTATTTTTTAAGTTATCCCAGTCCTGTGCCCTTGATTCCATCTCTTCTCACTTTCCCTTCTTCCTGGCTCCATTCTCCTGTCCCTTATGAAAAACAGGCAAGACCATCAATTCTATCAAGTTATCATTAGGTCCCTCTGTTCTAATCAACATATTTTCAATATTGAAGAGGGCTTCTTCCACTCACTCCTCAACCTTGTAAAACATAGTTTAGGTCTTCCTCTTTTTATTGTAGCTACCCTATTTAAAGTCACTCATGGCTTTGAATTGCCAAATTCAGTGGTCTATTTTCACCTTTTGAAATGTGTTATGTTAGTTACAGTCTCCTTGCTACTCAGTCCCCTGACTTGGACTTCCATAACACAATGATCTCTGATTTTTCCTTCTGTTTGTGATTGCTCCCTTTGTCCCAGGCACTGACTACTCCTCTTCCCACCACTCTGAAATGATTAGCATTCCCCAAGGATTCTTCAAAACTCTCTTTCTGCCTTGGAGAAGTCAGCCACACCCATAGCTTCAATTTGGAGCATTTCTACTGCTTGTCTAGATTTATCTCAGGACTTACCTTCAACCTATTCTTTTTTTTCTTTCAGTGACACTTTTCCTTGCTTTAATATTTGTTGTTTTTTCTGCTTTTGAAATGAATGTTTAATTACAAAATACCAAACTACACTCAAAAGAGGGTGTAGAAAAAGCCAGCCATTGGTGCAGCATGGAGAACCCCACAAGTAAGGACAGATAGCAGCAGCAGGTGGTGAGAGGTGGGAGGTGATGGGAGCAGTGGTTACAAATGTTCACAGGAAGCTTAAACTATCCGACAGGTTGTGCCCTAATGTTAGCACAGGTTAGACTAGTTACTACCTTGCTGGGTGGCCTCAGTGTGTTTGGGTTCAGATTCTACACAGCAATACAATTTCTTCCAGTTAGGAGTTCTTGGCTTGCACTGATCACAGCATGATTGGAGGATACTGGACCAGTCTTGCTAGTTTTTCAAAATGCTGTTGTAGACATGGTAGATGCATTGAGAGACTTCAGGAGCTCTACACTTCAGTGACAGTGTATAATTGGGGTTTCCTGGCTGGACATGTAGCTTGGCCAAAATCCAAGGTGATCCCACTAACTGTTGCCCATACAATAGTCTGAAGACAGACCTCTGAGAAATGACCCTTCCTTGTCCCCCTAACTTTCAAAACATGTCCAAATTTCCTAGCCTGACATTCAGACCTTGATTATCTGCCTCCAAGTTTATATCCTACTATCTTCCTTTACATATTATTTTCCCCAGGTACATTGGAAAGCTTGCCATTCCTGATCACAGCCTACAAACTCTTCCTGCTTCCCACCCACCCCCATTTCTGCCTGTCAAAATGCAACCTTTCCTCAAGAGTCATTTCACATGACCCCTCTTTTTATGAAGACTTCAGGTAGAAATAATTTTTTTGTCTTTACTTTCATTTTATTTTGGGAGTGTTTATGACATTTAACGTATCATACTTTGTATACAAATATTTGTTTAGCTATATTGCCTTGCACCCTCTTTAGCAAATTTCTTGAAGGTAGAGACCATTGTATGTTTTCTTCCTATGTCTCTTGGTACCTAACAGAACTATGGCCATAGTCCATATTTATTTAGCAGCCTTTGTAGTTATTGCTTTGAGGAGCTTCCTCTCACGAATGTCCTTTCTCTCTCTCCCACAGATTCGTCCCCCTATGTATGACCTGACTGCCATGAAAGTGCCTACTGCTATTTGGGCTGGTGGACATGACGTCCTTGTAACACCCCAGGATGTGGCCAGGATACTGCCTCAAATCAAGAGTCTTTATTACTTTAAGCTATTGCCCGATTGGAACCACTTTGATTTTGTCTGGGGCCTCGATGCCCCTCAACGGATGTACAGTGAAATTATAGCTTTAATGAAGGCATATTCCTAAATGCTATACATTGCATTTACTTTTCAGTCAAAAGTTGCTTCCAAGCCCATAAGGGACTTTAGGAAAAATACTAACCAAGAATGAGGTCATCCTCCAACACCCTGGGGGAGAAGCATAATGAAGTTTGTTTTCCAAATTCATTGTGTTAGTGTTATTTATGTTTAGAGACATCTTTGCATGGGACCATCTACAGGTCCTTATAAACAATGAGGCAGATTGGGCAAAAAGATAAATAAGTTGCTATTCTATTTGGTATTTAACTCGAATTAAATTATAATTTTTAGTGTATACCATGAAGTATAGAAATGTCTGAAATTTCAAAGGAACAGTGAAATTCCATTAAGGTCCTATATGGAAACATCTATGGTCATTTTATTTATATGGGTTGCTAGGGCAATGAATAGAGTGTGCGATTAGGAGGCGGGCCTGTAACTTCTTTATAAAATTTTTTTAGGTATCCTGAAGATGTACTAGACATTTTTACCTTTTTAGGTATTTTCAACATCAGAAATTCAAAAAAGTCCCCAGAGATTCTTCCAGAGAAGTCATAGCCTCTTATAATCTTATCCCTGGCTATCTGGGTAAATGAATTCTTGAACCCATAATAGGATACATGTATAAAATCTTCCTCATTGCAGCAGAAATAAATGGGGCAGCATCTATAGATCAATATAATTTTATAATCATAGGAAGGCTTGTTTAGCATGTAATGCCCCCTTTATAGGCTTTGTGTTCTTTGAGGGGTTTGAACATTCCGTGGAAACTGACAGATAGGAAACTGACAATGAAAGGTTAAGCTAAAGATGGAGGCAGAAAGTACAAGGCTAGATAGTCTCTAAACATTAAGGTTGTTCTTCCTACATCTTAAAAGCAGTGGAAAGCCACAAAAATATTTTTACCTAAGGGAAGCCTGATCACCATATTTTTGTAAATATCACTTTGGCTGCTGTGTAGAAAACGGATTAGAAGACAACAAAAGATGCTGAGCAAGTTTGTAAATCTGATCAAGTGTTCTGATGCAGGCTGATACCCGTCTTCTGTGCTCTCTGAGAGAGATGATGGTTGGAAAATCCAGAACCAGTTCCATCATACTGCCCTGCCCTGCTGGCAAATCTACAGCCTGCTGGCCCCTGGAGACATTCTTCTCTCAAAACTAGCATTAACTAATTTAATGTGTATGTATTGATGGGGAATAATGGTCACCATGAAAACCAGGTGGTAATATGGAAAAATACCTATGATATAATGTTATGTGATGAGAAGAAAATGGAACTGGTAGAACTATGTGATCCCAAATATATACAAATATTAAAACAATTATATGACTTTATAAAACATTTGTATAAAATAAAAACTGAAGTCATAAAAAATAAAATTAGTTGTGTCAGGGTAGTAACATGATGAGTGATTTATAGTTTAAAATTTTTAATATAGTAATGATATAATGTTACAACTTATCTAAATCTCACAAACTTAATATTCAATAAAGGAAGATAGACATAAAAGATGTAGGCTAAATAATTGATGGCTCTAGAAGCCTTAAAAAGTTTATTTTTAGGAGGAGAATCCTGCATTGGAGGCCTCTAGGGTCCAGAAAAATGTCCTAATACTAGAGCTAGGTGCTAGTCAGGTTAATTATAATACATTTCATTATTTTATCTGAAATACCAAGATCACTTCCAAGCAGGAATGGAGTCTAGCAATACTTTACTGATGGGGAACTTGGCCACATACTTGTAATATGAGTTTTTGGATATGTTGACAATGTTTCTTCTTTTATTTTTCTTACTTATACAAAGCAAGAAACTTGGCTCACAACCTTGTAACAGACTTACCAGGTTACTCTAGTTTCTCAAACCTCAAGATCCCTTTACTATTTTTAATAGAACAAGGTAAATAATAACATTAATGTAATTCAATATAAATTCATGTCAAATGTAAATTCTGACTCTGAACTCTGGTGAATTTCCTTCAAATGGTATAATCAATTTCAGAGAGGCAAAGTCTTGCTCAAATGATGGCCTTTCTGAGAATCATTAACCGAAGAACAAGAAAAGTATTTCACCATCAGGGATTTGTTCAACTTTAATCACCTCTACATTCTCCTCTCATAGGAAGGTTACTCACATCTTCCAAAGTCTGGCCACAATACCACCAGTTTTGAAACGTTTTCTCTGAACTATATGCCCTAGAATTACTGTTCCTTCTTCTAAATCACTTTTTATTATGCTTCCGAATTATCTTTTTGAAGAGTGTTGTGTAAGTCTACCTCCCTAATAAATCTTAAGTAGCTTGAAAGCAGAAGAAATTAGATATAGAACTGTCCATTACCACACTAATTTCACTCTTGCTATTCCTTGATGGCCCACAACCACCACCACCAACCCCAGCTCTCCTTGAACTTGATCCCTGACAACCACTTATCTGTTCTCTGTCACTATAATATCTCATAAATAAAATCATGGAGTGTGTTGCCTTTGGATATTGGCTTCTTTCACTCAGTATGATGTCCTTGAGATCGATCGAAGTTGTTGCATATATCAAGTTTGTTTCTCCCTATTGCTGAGTGGCATCCCATGGTATACATGTACCACAGTTTGTTTAACCATTCACTCACTGAAAAACGTGTGGGTTATTTCCAAGTTTCGGCTTTATCTTTTTGACTTTTCACTGCTTAGTGACATGTCTTGAAAATAAAAATACTCAGTTCAGATTTGAATTAATTTGAATTAATTGCAAGTCCCACCCAAAGCTAAGTTTTCTGTGCTAACACCTTCTGTCATCTGTACACTGCCTGAAGGGAAAATATGTTACTCAAATCAGAGTAACTGATTGACTTGACTACACAATCCTTCACTCATATTTTAATTTGACATTTAGAGATTGCAAAACAGTGGTGTGGTTCTCATTACATATTAGAGTTCTTATGTGATTTAAGAAGTGCTTTGGAGTAGGGCGAAAACAGATTACTGGTATTTATACCTTGATAGACTATGAAGTCCTTCCTCCGCCATTGTCAAGATGTAACATGTCTTTAGCTCTGTCAAAACCTCCATCAGCATCATCATATCTCCCACAGAGCCAAACCAAATGAAAATAATAATCATAGTAATAACAATAGTATACAATCATAAAAAATTATGTGAAGTATTAATATAAATAAAAGCACCAACAATTTTTTAATGTATAGATATAAAAAGGTAAATTCTATAAAAACAGTAAGCTTTCTATGGAGTGCACCTTCAAGAAAGTTTCATAGTTCTCCTCCATTCCATGTCCAACAAGATTGTCCATAAATTCCATCTATGGAGAAATTCTGGAGTCAAATCCTTCTTTTTGTACTTTCTACCCATATTTGCCATTTTAGTTTGTGTGTGAATTTCTTTCCTTAACAAAGCAATCAACTTAGCTAAGAAAGATTGTTTATTTGGGATACAATGTGCCCTTAATAAGCTTAATCAAAATTAGCACTTTTATAGTATTTGATAGCACAAAAGGGTGACTGTAGTCAATAATTGTACATTTAAAAATAACTAGGAGTATAATTGGATGGTTTGTAACATGAAGGGTAAAAGTTTGAGGTGATGAATATCCTATTTACCCTGGTGTGATTATACATTGTATGCCTGTATAAAAGTATCTCATATGCCCCATAAATATATATATACCTACTATGTACTCCCACAAAAATTAAAAATTAAAAACAAGATAGGCACTTAAAAAATACCTTTTATATCCTGCCACTCTACTCCTACCTCAAAGGAAAGGTCCCTGGAAACTCTAGGTAATGTAGACCCTACGAAAGCATGACATCATCAGTGTGTGGTTCAAAGAGTTCTGAACATTCAAAACAAAAGCAAACAAATCAGTATGAGGATGAAGCCAAGGGAAGATTACTGACCACATGCTCCACAAGACTTGTCTCAGGTACACATGGAACCTGAGAATGTTTAATGTTGTAATGAGATACTTATTCATATCACAAAGTAACACGTGTATTTTCATAATTATAAAAATGCAAATATCTTAAGTGTAGTGTAATACTCAGTAGCTTCAAGTGGCTTTTTTGGCATTGGCATAATACATATATATTTTCCATAGTTAATTTACATTTATCTAATTTTAACTGTGTCTTCCACTTTTTTAACATACCTCTTAGCCATTTGGTATGTTCCAAGTAATTTTTCTCAGGAAGAGATATGTGTTGAATATTGTTTGCACCCTTGAGTGTCTGAGGATTTTTTTTGTTGCCTTAACACAAGAGGTTAAAACATCTTTCTACCACAAAATTCTGTGGATATTTTTCTATTTTCTTCTGTAGTTTAGCATTACAATAGAGTTCTGTAAAGTCACCTTAGTTTTTATATATTTGTAGGTAACCTATTGTGGTTTTTTAAGAAAATAATTAACTTTCTGCTTATATACTTGCTTTATATTATTATGGTTTTGTTTTCTTCTCTATAATGAAAAGAACTTAGCAAGCATATGTTTTCAAAGGTATCCCCCTTGATTTTAATTTTACAGTGAACTCTTTTAGTCTGCAATTATATGTTTCTTTAACCCAAGTTTTCTTCTAGCATGCCTTTGAATATTGATGTGTCTATTCCTTTGTTTTAATCTCGTCAAAGAATCTATTACCTATATGTTTCTTCAATGTCTATCATCTCCTCTGTCATTGTTTTTATCTCTTTGTCTTTTTCTCTGACCTGTGCACTTGGTAATCAAGTTTTTCTCAGAATCACTAATGTACTTTTATGCAATTCTGTCCTTTACAGCCTCCAGTGTTTTTAACTAATAATTTTTAGGATTTTTTTTTTCAGTTTTTCTTTATCTTGTCGAAATTTCTTTATCCATTTAATGATTGCATTTTCATTATGAACAATTGCAGAACTGCAAAACCATATAAAATTCATTACATTGAACACCTATATTTACTACCAGGGTTTAGAAATTAAATATTGCAAATGAAGTTTGTCTCGCTGCATTAATTTTGGTACTTTTTCCATGATATTGTTTGTTTCACCTAAATTTATGTATCTTTCTACCTAAGTATATTAAAATATATATTAAATTATACATATCCATATATATATATTTCTGGATATGTGTGTACATAAAATATTATATCTGAAAGCCACCTTTTTAAACATTTTTCTTTTTATTTCATACCATATTCTTTTTATTTCAGTATATTCTTGTTTCTTATATTTTATTCTGAGTTTTACAAAAACAAACCTTAGCATTAGCTGTTCTAAAAGATGAAAGTACTCCTGCAAGAAGATGCAATATTTTTATCAGCTGTGATTCACATGTGATCAGGCTTAGTGGTAACCACATCCTTCCTGAGTGACCTTTGAAGATCATCCACCATCTCACCATAGGCTGGTAGCCATATTTCTCAGCTTACTCCACATGTTTTCTTCCCTTTCCAGAATGGGAAAAGCCTGTGATTGGGAGTCAGGTATCTTAATTTCTAAAAGCAAGAATCTATATCTGTTTAGTTTATTTGATTTTTGGAGGTTTATTTTGTTTTACGTTGAGTGAGTCATATTTTCTGGGCCTCATTGTCTTCCACCATAAAACAAAAGAATTTCATTAGATGATTTTTGTTGTTGTTGTTGTCTGCAAATAAGCACCTTATTATCAAAT